TCGGCGTCGTAGCACATACATACGATCTTACTGTAGGATAAGGCCTTGATTATAGCTCTACCCACGGCTTCTTTTGCTTCCGTTGCCACTTTCAGTTCATCCCGAGCTCATCTAACACGATGATGCGCTCTTATACATCCAGTTTTATCCCGGAGCTTGCCTTTGATGCGGATAGCAAAACCTCATGCCGCATCTGTTGACCGACGTGGTTGAACTGGAGAACGTTTGCTGCTTATGACATGTTCGTACTCATCTGGCAATTGTAGTCTTCCAAAAATTCTGTTAGTTTCATAAGGAAGCAGATGTTCTCATAGAAATGCTCATACTTCCAGGAATATCGCGTAGAGCGGTTGTGAAGCATTTAACCTTTGCACGAACTTGTTCTTGGGTAAGGTGCTTAGGTTGTCCAGATCTACTGAATATGTAGTGTGCTTTAACTAAAAATGCCTACTGAATCGCAAATGAGTTGACAGGAAGGACGATTCGACGTTAAACTCCTGCTTTCCAAGGTGCCTTCATATTTTTTGAAACAGGAGGGAGTTCAAAATTTTCTTATAAAAATGTATGTATTTCAAATGTCATTCTGAAACTGAATGATCTAACGTTTCAGAGCATGTTGAATTGAAGCTTAAGAAGCGTCATGGAGCCGGGAAAAGCGCAGAACGAAGTGTATTCCAACGGAGATAGGAAATTCCGTCGATGTGCCTGCTACCGATGGTCTCAGGAAGGATATGGGCACCCTCTCGATGAGCTCGTAGGGACTGCTATGCTGTCGCGGAACATACCATACAAGTTCACGCGAAACCTTATCGAAGGCTTTTTCCGAATACAGGAAGGCTAGATGTGAGCTCCTCTTTTCTCATGATGCTTTTCAAGAAGTTAACAACCTACGTGTGTCGCCTAGGTGATGGCTCAGCCAGTCACGAATCCGCACAGTTTGGAAAGCTGCACGATGTCACGAATACGGTTGTCCACAATTCGTTCAAATATCTTCATGCGATGAGAGAGCAGGCGAAATGGGTGATAGTTGGTACAGTCCGCAGGCTGCTCTTCTTCCGAATCAGAATGGTCGTACTCACCTGACAGCACTCGGATACCTACTTTTCAGATGGCGATCTGGATAATTACCTCAGTCAACCATTGTGCAGGGCACGAGCAGTGTAATTCCCTCAGATACAGCCAAGACGTCCTGACCCGCTGCTTGCCTGACTTTATTTTCTTAAGAGCTGTTTCCGTTTTCTTCATCGCTTTATTCTGAAGCGGACCGTATACAGGCGGAACATAAGGTATGGGTGGATGAGCAGTTTGTCCGTCGTGATCAGTGCTTCACTGCCCTCTTGCGAGCCATAAGAAGGTGGCCATTTTCGTCACTGATGCCACAAAAATGTCAAAACTAGAATCACTTCCTTCCAGAGGCCTTATATAATCATGCCCCAGTTAAATTCGCACAACTCACCTCACCCTCCAGGCAGGGTCAAGCGTGCGTTGAGGAATCCTCGACATGTCACAGAGGGGGGGTCGTATTGGCCCGCTGGGGAGAGATCGGGCCCGATTGATACAGTAGGATCATCGTCGGAGGACAAACATTAAGGATCGAATCGATACCAGGCCAGAGTATTTCCAATAACAATTGATTCCGTCCACACAAAATCTTCGTGATTTAGAGGTGTCCGCTTAGCAATTCTTAGTGACTTTAGTGTTTCATCACCACACAAGTCAAAGGATCCGAAATTCGCACGTTTTCTAGGATATTTTATCTTTCAAGTAGGTCCTCAAATCCAACGAGATGTGAAGCACACGGCGCATCCCAGAGTGGGCCCAGTTGGTTGCGCGCGCTTCAGCTACGGCTATCTTGATAACGAATCTTAATTCAGGAAGAATCAAGAGGGTTCTGAAAGAGTTCATGTTAAATTACAGAGAGGAGTACACTATTCAACAAGAAACGCAGCCTTCAGCGTCAAATTCACAAGCATGTAACCTTTAAAGTTGAGACCCGCTAAACAATTTTACACTTTTTGCAGAGAGAAAAGCACGAGGATTTTGAATCTGCTCCTACTTCAGTATGTAATCGCTCCTGCAAGGAGCTATAGTCGTTGGGATAGTGCTAATGTAGCGAAAAAGTACCTTTCGGCGGTACTCGGGCAAAAATCCTCAACGTGGCCATTTTTTAAATAGTGAACGTATTTAGCAGTTTTAGTTGCCTATAGAAAGAGCAAATCTTCTAGTTTATGATGACGTATTAACTTTCCAGATTGCATGAGTTTGAACGGAGTTATGGCTTTGGAAAGCGTAAAAACTCGCACTCATCACGAATTTTCCTCGTTAATTTTGCAAAAATCCTCAACGTGGCCATTTTTTGAGTACTGGACGTATGAAGCTGCTTTAGCGACCGTTTGATAGAGAAAATCTTCTAGTTTTGTATGACGTATCAACTTTTTGAATTTGACGGAAATGAAGCAAGTTATTGCTCCGGAAAGTGTAAAAACTCGTGCTCGTCTCGAATTTTCCTCGTTATTTGATCTAAATTTGTTATTTCTTATAACTTCCTGTAATTTCAGTACTGATTAGAAAAAGCTCTTCACAAAACTCCCAAATCAGCTTTCAGATTGAAAATTCGTTAACTTTGAAGAAAGTTATAATCATTTGAATATTTGTTCAAATTTCAATAGTAAATAAGCTGCTCCACGGTCAACGCCAAAGTCCAGTCAACACACAGCTGGCGAAGGCTTTTACAAGGCTTCCTTTGAGCGAAAGGGGGACGTGTAAATTGAGAACCATAATCTGTGTAGTACTAGAATTTGGTAAGTCTTGTGGAGGAAATAAACAAAGAAGAGGTGTTGTCATAGTACGCCATTTCTAGTGACTAGTTTGACGTTTTTTGCTCCGTCTCGTTTGCTCGTTTGACAGGACTCGTCATTAATGATCATTCTTTGACTTTTTCACTTTTATACTTTTTAAACGAGTTTTTTTTGTGGACGATGGGGTAGCAGGGCTTTTTTATGAGCAGTTTTGGTGGGAGAAGAACCTATAAGACAACTGTCTTCCAGTTTCGGCTTTGGAAGAGAGTTTCTCACGCGATTCGGGCCGGTTCGGGGACAGGGGGGAGGGTCGTATTTTTCCGAAAGTTTCTCTCGCGACGCCTCCTCGCTTTTGCCCTCGCCTCCTAGGTACTGAAATACTCTTGCATTACCTTACCTTCATTCAAAAATAGACTTCCAACTCTTATGCGAAGACTACACGGCACGTTCACTCATATATGATCCGACAATCCCCAGTAAGTCGTTACCATCCCTTATTGAAGAACACTTCGTGGCATCACCATGCTAGCACACGGTCAACTGTCGAGTTGTACCAGTTTAATTTTCATGTCTCCTCCCCATCTTTAGGAGGTCTCATATAATCCCCATCATACCCACAAGCCTTCGAGAGGTCCCCAGTAAGATCCTTCTCAGCACCATGGCTGTTTCTGCAGTACTTGACTGTGAGACCATTCGATACACTCAGCTCTTCCTTAAATTCCTTGACTCCATTCCAAGAGAGCAGTAGAGTGGGAGGGACCTAGCGAAAGCTCAAATTGTGAAAAAGGCCTTTCAAAAACGACTCCGTTTTCCTCCTCCACTACAACACGACCCCTCAACTTCGTCACCACGACCCTCTGAAAATTCCAGATACAACCTCTCCCTTCGATAATCACAATATGGAAGAACCAGACATACTATTACTCCATCAGAAGGCCTGAATGCGACTCCGTTTATATTTGCTCAACGTAAGGTTGATCCTTACCCCAAACACAACTCTGTGGTGAAAAAATATGTGTGGTACGTCGATCAATTTCACGCATAGAAATTATCTTTATTACTGTAACAAAACGTGAAACAAGAAAATATATTAAACCGCTATAACACAGATCGTACAATATTTCGAAGATGTGAGAGTCATGCCATGAAACTGTGGCAACAATATCGCTATCAACATAACTACCCACCGGATCAATTGATAAACCGAATTAGATTACACAGCACTCTATGGCGACGACGTCGGTTCTGTCAGAGGATCTGATGGATTCAGGTCTTCCAACCACAGAAAGACGTCCCATCAGTTTTAATCATCGACTACAATCTCATTATCTCTGTTATACTTCGCATGGTATACAAGCAGTACCTAATACATATCTATACAAAAAATAAATCAATACCAGATAAAAATCGTAAAGAGATCTCTGTAGCATTACACATCTGAAAAGGCATAAAACTTAACATTAAAGTTGAAGCGGTCATCGATCTGCAGAAAGGGTTCAGTATACGATCAATAGACCACTTCAAGAAGAGATCGATGACTGCCCGTTTTATAAACTACTATGACATACACACTGGTTCTGAGAGAGGCGGGTCGTTGAGCTCTTCAAAGAAACTCTACTGACGGGAAAAGTTAGAAATAAGGTAGGGGTGGTAGGGGTGTGGTTTCAGAACCGGGTCGGACTCGGGTTTTATACACAGGAGGTGGGGCGAATAAAGCTTGATACGCAACGCGTGAACATTTAAACGAACACACGGCCAGACCTACACACAACATTGCACTTGCAAGCACACTTTACAAGTTATCATTGAGCAGAAAGAGAAATCTATCGATACACATGCCTAATACCTGACGTCGGATGCGTGATTAAAGGAAAGCGGTGGAGAAACCAAAAAAGGTTAGGAATGGCAACAAATTTTCAGAGAAGATATTATCAACACGGAAAAGATCAGAGTACAACTCGCGTAAACATCATAAATTAAGATGAAAAGACGTTTTGGCAGGATAGAACATTAAATACCAGCAATTCAGTCCGCGTGGAAGACGTGACTTTACGTTGAAGAAAGAAGGAGCCGAGCGCAGTACCGCCAAGACGCTACTAGATTGCAATGTTACGGAATGCTCGTCCACCCCGTGACACCATCATCAGTCCCTCGTCGTCCTCTTCGATTTCGGTCTCACGGCGACGAATTGGTGGTGGTAGATTCAAACGTGCTTTACCATCCACAGAAAATATCTGGAATGAGATAAATTAGCGAGAGATTCCACGGCCAGACTTCAGTGTTGCGTATCGTTCTGCTATTACGCTACTGGGATGCGTTACCATGAAACTGATTGAGATTAGATTGAGACTAGATTGATCAGCCTGTTTAAAGATGCGCCGGGAATTTTACTCCATTCAAAATCATGGTTACGGGTTAATTCGCTTGCCCTTGCGATGTGGCCTGTAGAATGAATTTTGAAAGCTAGGCAATGTGAAAGTTGGTGCACCTGCCCTCCCAAAAGTCTGCCTTCATTTAGCTGGTTTCTGAAAACAGAAAGGGCCAAATTTGACCGACGGATCATGTGCGCGGTAAGCGACGCCACTTGTTCCTATGCTGTCTCTGCCAGCGCAACTACCGAACAGTTTGATAATGCTCTCCCCTTAACCTTCCTCCATTCTGTTCGTCTCCATTCCTTGAATTCCTTTCCTGTCTAACGTGAGCGAATCGTGTGGAGTCTTTCTGTTCATTGGTTCGAGGGTGAAATTTAAAGATTATCAAAAATTTCCATTTCCAAGGCAATTCCACACGATCAGAGCGGAGGAGGCCTTCATAGAAAGGGAACAATAACAGAAAAAAGAGCCAAATGCACCCCAATAGCATATAGGAAACAACAAGAAGAAGAGAAATCCATGAACTGAAGAAAAATTCTGACCTCTTGTGGGGCTCCCATTATTGAGAGTAATACTGGCAGCAGTATCAAACCATTGATCACTCCTATCACTATCAACGCTGACATGACCACAAAGAAATATTTGACGACAAACCTGAAAAAGAAAACTGTCGTAAAAGATCAAACATGCTGCAGAAATCTAGTTCTTAGGACTTTGAAGTTACAAACTATTTACAGGGTGTCCCATAAAAATTGCACCACATTTTGGACTTCAATTCTGTGAGCGCTCATAGTTTCCCATCCGAGGTTGGCAGGCCTTCTGCCTACATCTCGTAATGCGCATAAACTTCAACAGAGTGCCTAATCCTTCGCACAGCTAGGTCGGACGACGGTAATAAATATCGTACATCTTTGGAATCTTAACCGCTCCGCGACCTACCACGCACCGAAGAGAAGAACCATAAATGTAGTCTTCCAATTGCGGCCGCCCCGTAAGTTCTGCTATCTTGGATCTCAGGAAAAGCATGAAGAAGCGAAACGACTGCAATACCCGGTTGGCTCGAGAAAGGTGACCAGAACGCTGAAGTTTCTAACACAGTCATGTGGAGAGTGGTCAGATAACAACTGCTCACAGTCCATTATAAGTTGCATAAGCACCACTGCTCAATCCAACGGGAGGAGCACAGCAGAGACAAAAAGTTCAAAGAGCTGGTGTCGAGGGCCGAAAATGGCGATTACGCGGGCACCGTTTTCATCGACGACAAAATTCCTCACATGGAGCGGAGCTACAATCTCCAAAATTTGAGGATACTCGCATGAGGTCTTAAGGCTGCCAAAGAAAGAGAAAGGAATATTCTTCAGAAGTAGCAACCAATCCCTATCACGGTCTAGGCAGAGGTCTCAAATACCGGTCGCTCACCACCACTGCCTGTTTAAAGAGGAATACAACTCAATGCTAGGCTTAGCTAGGGGACATCTTGGTGCATCAACTGTTGCTAAGGTATCTAGCCACTTTGAGGGGGAATGATGTCTTTTCAATAGGACCCAGCTTCTGCATAGGAGGCAAAAATTGTTCAGGAGCGCTGTTAAGGCACTCTTCCAATTTCACATCCTCGAACGAATGGCTCTCCTATCCCTTGATTCCAACGTGCTGGACCATCCTATGTGGGCTGTGTTAGGGACAGGGCCTGCGCTAAACATTGCATCACA